AGCCAGTTTATGACGCAATAACAAACGATCCAAATAGCTTAGCAGAGCACAGTGTCTAAAGCCTCTCCTTAGCTGTAGCGTTAAGTCCCATCTCCTGGTCTTCCCCCCAAAACTGCTCTTCCTGCAGCCCTCTCTGACTCAGTTAATCACAATTCCATCCTTCAGGATGCTCAGGCCAAAAATCTGAAAGCTGTTCCTGACTCTTCTCACACTCCATATTTGTTGAAATCCTATTGGCTCTACCCTCAAAATATATACAGAATCTGCCATATCTCATACGTCATCTGCTATCTTCCTGGTTCAAGTCGCCATCATCCCTCACCCGAATTTTTGCAGTAGCTTCCTAACTGAATTTTCTGCTTCTACCAATGCGCCCAGTCTATTCTCTGCAAAACAGACAAAGCGATCCTTTTAAAATACAAGATCATGTTACTCCTCTGCTTAAAACCCTGTAACGACTTTCCATTTCACTTAGAGAAAAAGCCAAAGTCCTTACAATGGCCTTCAAGGCCCTGCCTGGTCTGGTCATCCATTGCCTTTCTGACTTTCCCTCCTACCACTCTCTGCCAGCTTCCTCTCTCAGCTACACTAACTTCTTTGCTAACCCACCAGTCACACATTTCCACTTAAAGTCCTTGCATTGGCTACTTCCTCTATCTCAAGAGCGTCTTCCCTACATGGCCACATGGCTAACTCCTTCACCTGCTTCAAGTCTTTGTTCAAGTGCCACCTTCACAGTGGGGACTACACTGACCACTCTGTTTAAACTGCAACCCACTCTAGCTCACCCCCCAGCAGCCCTCCTCCACGTCCCTATGTAATGCTGTCGTTTTTCTTGTATAGCTTAACACCACCCTCTTACACAATATCTTATTTTCTTATGGTATTATCTGCTTATTGTGTATCTTCTGTCTTCCTTGGCTATAAGATAAACTTCAAGAGGGCAAGGATCTTTGTTGGAGTTGTTCACTACTATCTCCCAACAGTGCCTAATACATAGAGGTGCTCAAAAAATATTTAACAGGTGAATAACAAATAAAAATTAAAGGCAAAGGCCAAAATAGAAAAATAAGAAGGAACTTGGAAGAAACAGAAATGATAAAGGAAGATTTTTTTTTTAATCATTAAAATCCTCAGATAGAAGAGAATAAACTGCATCTATGAAACAAGAAAGGAATGATATAACAGCAGCAGCAACAAGAAGAACTAAAAAACAATCAAAGGATAAAAATTAATTCTTAGGAATTAAATTCATATTTGAATTTTTAAAAAAATCAGTAAAAAGTTGGAAGTTCAAGAAATTCCCCGAAAGAACAAAAGTCCAAGAAGATGAAAAACTCAAGATGAAAGAAAACTAAAGTTCAGTCCAGGAGGTCAACTTACGACTAATATATATTTTAAGAATGACGGACAGGGCTTCCCTGGTGGCTCAGTGGTTAAGGATCTGCCTGCCAGTGCAGGAGGAAACGGGTTTGAGCCCTGGTCCGGGAAGATCCCACATGCCACAGAGCAACAAAGCCCGTGTGCCACAACTACTGAGCCTGCACTCTAGAGCCCGTGAGCCACAACTACTGAGCCTGCATGCTGCAGCTACTGAAGCCCGCACGTCTAGGGCCTGTGCTCCGCAACAAGAGAAGCCACCGCAATGAGAAGCCCGCGCACCGCAATAAACAGTAGCCCTCACTCACCACAACTAGAGAAAGCCCTTGCGTAGCAACAAAGATCCAACACAGCCAAATATAAATAAATAAATGAATTTATTTTAAAAAAAAGAATGAGGGACTTCCCTGGTGGTCCAGTTGTTAAGATTCCCACTCCCAGTGCAGCGGGCCCTGGTTCGATCCCTGGTCAGGGAACTAGATCCCATATGCATGCTGCAACTAAGAGTTCGAATGCCACAACTAAGGAGCCTGAATGCCGCAACTAAGGAGCTGGTGAGCTGCAACTAAGTAGCCCACCTGCCACAACTAAGACCTAGCACAACCAAATAAATAAATAAATAAATATTTTTAAATAAATAAAGTAAAATAAATAAAAGATCCTACAGGCCACAAAGAAGATCCCACGTGCTGCAGCTAAGATCCGGTGCAGCCAAATAAATAAATAAATATTTTTAAAAAGAATGAAAGAACAGAGAAAATAAGAAGACAAAATTTAGGGGCAAACAATATTTTAAAATATTCTAGAACAGAAGGCATGAGTTTTCAGGCTGTGAAAAAAACTCCTCTAGGGTTCAGCATAGTGAAGAAAAATGCCTCTGAGCAAGCACAGCACTGTAACACCTCAGGCCAGGGATCAGGGGAAGACCCTAAAGCTTCTACAGTTTCCAAACAAAGCATCAGAACGCACAGAACACCTCAACAATAGCAGTGGAAATTAGATAATAATGAAAACAATGAGGGTAAGGATTTTAACAGAGAAACAGAGGCATATTCAGAAGTGTCAAGACCTACCATTCCCCTTCTCTCAGGAAGTGTCTGGAGGATGTGCTCCACCAAAACGAGAGAGAAAAACCAATACATAGGATAATATGAAATCCAGGCAACAGGTGATCCAAATCAGTAGGGTATAAGGGAAATTCCTAGGATGATGACAGGAAGTTGTGGGATGACAGCTACGTAACAGATCTAAAGTGCAACCTCCAGATTGGAGGAGAAATATGGAAGACTAAAGCACAAATGACTCCAAGGAAAAAACAAGTGGTATTACTAGCTTACTTAATGTATTTAAATGTACTGAGAGGAAATTTTCAGTTCTGCTGAAGATTCAGAGATGAAACTAAGCAAACAAACAAAGAGGCAATTATTAACCCCATGTAAAGCAAAAAACTACACAAGAAGGAAATGTAACCATAGTATACTACTTGATTCAGCTTTGAACATTATTTACTTAATCACAACAACATAAACGTTGATTTAACTCAACAAAGTGATATAACTTTTCTGGAAGGATGAAGTGAGGAAAAGAGGAAACAGAGGAGCATGAAATTTTTTCTGCCATAAAAGGAAGTCAATTGATAATGTCTAAGATTTGTGAATCAATAAATAGCAGTGAACACATAGTATTTAGAAATATGGAAATAAATACCAAAAGTAGTAGTCAAAAGGAGTGCCAATGGCTGTCTCTGGGGATGGATTGGGGATAAGGAGAATTACTTGTTGTTATAAGGCTTGTAACCTCAGTTTATTTTCAGACTACATACATGTATTACCCTGATAAAAATAAATATTTGGGGATGTGGGACATACCAGCACCAAATCAATACTTTCCACTTGATATAACATAGAGATTCAAAGACAGTGGAAATGACTTTCTCATCATGTGGTCCAATGTTATTTAAAATCATACCTTGGGGGACTTCCCTGGTGGCACAGTGGTTAAGAATCCGCCTGCCAGTGCAGGGGGACACGGGTTTGAGACCTGGCCCAGGAAGATCCCACATGCTGCGGAGCAACTAAGCCCACGTGCCACAACAACTGAGCCTGCACTCTAGAGCCCGCAGGCCACAACTACTAAGCCCACGTGCCACAACTACTGAAGCCCTTGCACCTAGAGCTTGTGCTTCACAACAAGAGAAGCCACTGCAATGAGAAGTCCGCACACTGCAAAGAAGAGTAGCCCCTGCTCTCTACAACTAGAGAAAGCCCGCGCACAGCAACACAGACCAAATGCAACCCAAAATAAATAAATAAACAAAAATTTTTTAAAATTAAAAAAATAAAATAAAATCATACCTTGGGCATAAAGTTTCAGCCAAGTTAGATGAATAAGCTCTAGAGATCTGTTGTACAACATTGTACCTCTAGTCAACAGTAATATATTATACCCTCAACATTTTGTTAACAGGGTAGAGCTCAAGTTACACATTCTTACCACATTTTAAAAAATGTTTAAACATGTCTATGCACCTCTTAAAATTATCTCTTGTACTACCAGTGGTATTCATCACACTTTCAAGCCTAGGGAAATAGTGTGTGCCATCCTCCTTGGAGCAATTAGATGGACAAGAGACCAATGTTCACAGTTCAAGGGCCATGTCTGACCCAAACTAATTTAAGACATAATAAAAAAACTGAATAATTCCATAATCATTAAAGAAATCAAATCTCATAGTTTAATTTTTTTTCACAAGAAAAACATCTGGTCTAGATCATTTTATAGGCAAATTCTAACAACTTTGAAGGAACACACCCTTCCAATCTTATTAAAACTCTGAGAAAATAATTCTCTAATTCATTCTGTGAGGCTAACATAATCTTGATATCAAAATGAGCAAGGACCATACAAAAAAAGAAAAATTATAGTCCAACCTCACTCATGGACAAACATGAAAAATCCCGAACTATTAACAAAAGAACCAAGCAATGTATAAATGGTGATATGTGCAATGTTTTTAAAAGCACCGGGTTTGGGGGATTAAATGTAAAGGGAGCCCTAGCATCTTGCATCAGGCAAATTCATGGTGTTTATAGGGGAACATTCTGTGTGGATCTGAAAAGGCAAGGAGCACAAGATGTTAAAAAAAAACAAACAAACTATGAATACACATAAAATAGAAAGCTTTCTCATTATTATAGGTTTCTGATTTTAGGAAATGGGTTATTGGCAGAGGATAACACTGACCTACCTCTGTTTTGAAGTGGAGAGGAAGAAGTAAAGATTTCAGATAGAAAATTGATAGCATAACTATTCCAACATGAGGCTACTGAACTCTCAGGGAGCCCCTTCCAGGCTCTTGGACCAAACTGCCACACTTAGAGACATATAGCAATGCCCCCTAAGATCCCAGCCTTTTCTGTAAATGTATCCTCTGAATTTGTAATATAGGTGGGTAGAAACTCCATGCACTGCCTACTTCAAACCTCAAGGATCATGAGAAGGGTCTTGGTCACGAAGACTGGTTTGTTATAATGGCATATCTTCTCTGCGTATCTTTCCCCTAATTAGGAATTGTGTGTATGTGGCAGATCCATACCCCTGAAGGGAAAAGCATTACTCACTGTGCATGAAATAGTCTCTCAAACTCTGGTGACCCAGAGACTGCTGGGGGTGTGACTTTGTATTTTGATCTCACCTTTCCTGCCTGCAAAGCGAAATAACCTGCAAGTAAAGAGGAACGAACATTAAACATGTGGCACATCATTATTCATTAGTAAAATGCAAATTTAAACCACAGGTAGATACACTACATACCTATTAAAATGTCTAAAATTAAAAAGACAGATCATACCAACTAGAAAAGACAGACAGACATGTGAAGATACAAAATCAACTGGAATTCTCACACACTGCTGGTGGGAATGTAAAATGATACAACTACTTTGGAAAACCACTTGGAAGGAACTTTTTAGTTAGACATACATTGACCATATGATTCAGTCATTCCACAACTAAAATTTTCCCATGAGAAATTAAGTCATACATCCATAAAAACACCTGCCCACAAATGTTTACAACAGCTTTATTTGTAATAGCCAAAAATTAGGAACAACTCCCTGATGGTTAAGATTATATGTCAACTAGGCTATCCATGGTGCCCAGTTGTTCGGTCAAACACCAGTCTAGATGTTGCTGTGAAGGTATTTTTTAGAGGTGATTAACATTTCCATCAGAAGACTTTGAGTAAAGCAGATGACCCTCCATATTGTGGGTGGGCCTCACCCAATCAGTTGAAGGCCTTAAGAAAAAAGTCTGAGGTCCCCCAAAGAGGAAGAGATTTTTGCCTCCCTTTGGACCCAAGACTGCAACATCAATTCTTGTTGGAATTTCCAGTCTTGCAATCCACCCTGCAAATGTCAGACTCACCAGCCCCAACTACTATATGAGCCAATTTCTTAAAATAGATATGTGAGAGTGTGTATGTGTGTGTGTGTGTGTATCCTATTGGTTCTGTTTCTCTGGAGAACACCGACTAACACAAATGTCTATCAACAGTGAGTGGATAATTAGTGCTTTGTCCATACAACTGGATACTACTCAACAGTAAAAAGGAATGAACTATTAATAAGTGAAACAACATGGATGAATCTCAGAATAATTATGCAGAATGAGGTGTGTGCAGATGATGTCACCTGGAACTTGAGCAGCTGCACGAGGGGTATCGGAGGTCTGACAATGGCCAAGGACAAACTAAGAGGGCAGAAGTCCAGGAATGTATTCCACATAGCCAGCCAAAAAAGCTTTAAGGTTAATAATAAAGCAAAACCAGTTACCACTAATCTTAAGATAAACATTGTGAATGATGAAAAAGATAACTGAGTGAATAAAGCTTTCGTAGATATACAAAAGGAACGTGCACACTTCTCAAAAGGCCTTTCTCTTGAACCTCTGCAGAAACAGCTGATTCCTCAGCAGTGTCATGAAAACGAACCAGTTAATGTTGATGAAGCTACAAGATGAATGGCTCAGTTGTAATACACTGGTGATGCATCGAATTCCCTCAAAAGACAAATAAATTAAATGTTTTATACAAAAATTTATGCTAAATGAAAGAGGCAAGACCCCCCAAAAAGTATTACTGTATAAGTTTATTTGTATAAAATTCTCAGAAATGCAAGTGAATCTACAGTGACATAAAGTAGATCAGTAGTTGCCTGGAGATGAGGAAGGACAGGAAGGGGTGGGTCACAAGAAAACTTGGGGATGATGGCTCTCTGCAGGACTCAGCTTCCCTATTATGAAATGATTATGACTTTCTTCTTCATTTGCTGCATGGAAAATACATTAGATTATGAAACCCCAATGCCTGGGATCACCTGCCTCTGATCATCAGTGCTGTGACCCTCTTTCACTTTCAGACCCACACCTCCTCCTCTGTAAATAGTTCTCACCTCCTGTCCTTATCTCCCTCGTTTTACCCCGTAGTTAACTTCTGGGGTCTATTATTTCCCTTCAGATTATTTCTTCCAGTTTCAGTTTCTCACAGTTTCTCTCCAACACTGTTCTGGTCTCCCTTATTTTACCTTGATATCCATTTCCTACTTGCTAATGTTTTACAAATAATTTCCTTTTCCACACCAAGTTTGCAGCTTCAGTCTCTCACTGTGTGACAGTATTAGGGGCCATGTGTTTCCTCCTGAAACATGGTACCATCTCCCCTCCAACAAGAAGTCAGTAAATACTGAACCTGGTCGAGTAAGCCTCTCACAGCCGGCTACTTTCCTTCCCCTTCATCCCCCTCTGCTGCAAATAAAGTGTTGGTCCTGATTTAGAAGCTACAGCTGAACATCTAAGGACTGGCCTCTTTCTCGTTCAAACTGTAGTCCTATCACTGAAGTCTGGGAGAGTAGAGTGAAGATAAGTGTGGGATTAGGCACTGATGGTTTCCAACCCTGGGCTAAGTCTTTTCAAGGCAGCATAAAGCTGGAGAGGCCAGTGGCTCACGGCCTCAGCTGGAGCCAAAGAGGAGGTCCATCTATGGAGGGGAAAAGTGGGGCTTGGCCACCCTGGGCCCTGCTGCTACCACTGCTTCTAACGTGCTCCGCAGCCTCAGAGAACACACCGGGCAAGGCTTCTGGTTTTCACGATAGAATGGAAACGATGAAAGATGTGTGCTCCTAGATTTTTCTATTGGCAATGGTGCCAGAAACTAGAGCTTCAAAATGAAGGCGAATAAGTGAAAGCTTTGCAGGGCTGGCTTTTTCTGGTTGTTCATTGCACCTGGTCGGCATCTGTGTGGAGCAGCAGCAAATGTGAGGAATGAGCTTCAGTAAATGGAAGACCCCGCCCACCTCCAGCCCCAGGAAGGAGGACTCAGTTGCATCAGCTCCAGTTCCAAGGAGTCTCAGGTCAGGGGCCTCAGCGGGACACGTGTGCTGGGGAAAGTGAATCAAGACCCCTCATCCTGCCCCCCACTCTCAGCCCAGCCACAGCTGGGCTTCTTCACCACAAGGCTGCCTCTCAATCCACCAGAAGCTTCTCTCTGTGGGGAAGCAGCCAAGGACTGGAAGTGACTGTGCTGAACACCAACCCTGGGCCAGGCACCATGGTGGGCACTTCCTACCCAGTGTCCTGTTTAACCCTCTTTGATGAGGACACTGAAGGACAGATTTTCCCGGCCAAGGGCACCCAGCTTGTAAGTGGCTGGACCAGAAGATACAAGTCTGTTTTCAAGCTTTGAGTTGCTTCTACTATAGCACAGGGCGTCTCACCTCTGTAAACACCAGACTTCCGCTAAAGCAGTGAATTCTGGTTCTTAATGCCAACTCCCTCCCTCTCTCTCTCTTCCCTATCTATCACCAACCACCATTGGCCCCGTCTCCCCTTCCCAACTCAGCTGCCTGAACTTCACACTGCAATTCACACCATCCCTTGCACCCACCAGCAAACAGAACCTCTCTGTGGGGATGGCAGAGGCTATGCCAGCCTGGGGCAACCGTGGACCTGCCCCTGTGCTCTCTGCAGGGCCAGGACGTGGGCACACACGGGGTGGACCGTGCCTACGTGTAGAGGGTCAACACAAGGCGTTTCAGACCCAAGTGCTGCTTTAGTTGGCTATAAGCATCCTGCTTTACTCCAGAAAAGACGGTAAATCAAACCACAAAACATGTGTTTTAAGGTATAATCTTTTCATAAATTCACAAAACAGACTGGCTAGCAAGTCTGCCATTGTGTGTGTGTGCAGACTCTATCTATCCTAAACCGTGGCGCCTCCGTGCTTGGGGCTGAGAAGTCCGCTGCTCTGCCCCATTTCCTGGTACAAGCACACCGGGAAAATAAAGAAATACGTGTTCTTGATAAGTCGTGCTCAACAGGGCTCAGACCCTTTTTCCCATTTTGCATGTTAAGGAAGCATGTGCCTAAGATAATATGAATTGAGCAAAAGTGACCCCAGAGGAGAAGAAAACTCTATTTAACCAGGCAATCAGGATATTGAATAATCCTAGTGGGAAGGCACTTTAAAATTTAGAATGAATTACTTAATCTGAAGCTCATATTTTTGCAGGAGATTTTTTTTTTAACCTGATAATCATACCTGCCATACCCAGCTTATTTAAGAAACACACAGTAATTAAAAGATCGGGGTTCAAGAAATCACAGCCATGATTTATAAGCAGGTACAATGTTACCTTTGGAACACTCCAGATTAATATTTATAGCCCACTGCCCCCAGGTTACCGCATTTCTAATGCTCACTCGAACTGGGCTGTGGGTTGTAACTACAGATGATGCAGAATCTCTGGGCTCAAAGGCCCACGGCATCCCCACTGGAAGAACTAATCCCTGGAATGTTCCAAATCCCTGCCTGTCCCCAGGGAAGGGGGCACCGATGACCCTGAGCACAGCGTGCTCTTCAAAGCCTATGGACCACCAGCAACTGAGTAGAAACCCCAAAATGCTCCCTCCCTCCCTCTGCCACACACACACACACACACACACACACACACACACCCCGGGACGCTTACTTTGCTGACAGGCAGAGAGGACAGAGAGAGCAGCCATCTTTCATGTGGAAAGTTCTGGTTCACGGGACCATTCGCAGAAATCGAGGGGAAGATAACAGAGGCACTTTCGACTTGGCAAGGCTGACCTTCCTTATAAGGCGAACAGAGCTGAGAAAGGAGAGAGAAAATAAAAAGGAGGTTCAAGCGGCTGCGTGACCTTTGCCCTGGAACAGGAATCAGAAAGGCAGGCGGGTCCAGGCTGTCAAAGATCTTCACCTGGATCGGGCACAGCTTCCCCGACGGGCTTCAGATCTCCTCAAGCTCTGACCTGCGGGGTTAGCCCTCCAACCTCAGCACCTGCTGCTAACCCATCTCAGCCAGCTCGAAAACAATCCCCTCTCCTTCTCTTCCAAAGTCTGGACTCCTTAGTCCCCTGCCTGGCTCCAAGGCCTTGATGAGACCTTTCCCACCTCCCATGGGAAAAGAGAGGCGATGAAAGATCTTATTTAACCCCACTGAGATTAACATGCTAATTTAAGCCGATTCTAACTTTACTCCCTAGTAAATGGAAGATCTAGGATTTGAACCCATGTCCAGCATATTCCAACAGTGCCCTAAGCCCCCTGCCAGGCTTCCTCCCACTGTCACCCCAACTCTCCCATCATCGTGGTGACCATAATTTTTTTAGTTGAGATATAATTGACATATAGCATTGTTTTAGTTTCAGATGTAGAACATAATAACTTGATATATGTATATATTGCAAAATGAGCACCACGATAAGTTTAGGTTAACACCCATCACCTCACATAATTACAGTTTTTTTCTTGTGCCGAGAACTTTTTTTTTTTTTGTGGTACGGGGGCCTCTCACTGCTGTGGCCTCTCCCGCTGCGGAGCACAGGCTCCGGACGCGCAGGCTCAGCGGCCACGGCTCACGGGCCCAGCCACTCCGTGGCATGTGGGATCTTCCCGGACTGGGGCACGAACCCGTGTCCCCTGCAACGGCAGGTGGACTCTCAACCACTGTGCCACCAGGGAAGCCCTAGTAAAATGTTTTTAAAAGGTGTATATTCCCTATATGAACTCAAAAAAACTACAAGAGTTTGTGTGAGTTTAGCTTATTAGTTAATCAGTGTTTGTTACCAAAATTATACTCTGGATAAGGCAAACCAGAGAAAAGTTTGGTAATATAAAAACAACCCCAAACCATGTGAAAGAACTGTTGTTATGAAATGTAAACTCTAAATGTAACTATTTCTGAATAATTTTGCTGACAGATGAAAAGATATATATATAACTATAGACATGTTCTCTCAGACCAGTTGCATCCCCCCCAATTATTCCCTGACTTCACCCTCTGTGTTCTATCCCTGTCCCTCCAAAAAACGACAGCTTGTTGTCCTGGTTTCCACTGGTACTACGGCAAGCCGTCTCTGCTGCCAACAGGCCTGGCCACAGAGAGACAGAAAACACACCACCTGCCCGAGGATGCCCAGAAACCATCAGTGAGCACAATTATCAAGGACCATAATACTCCTGATTGAAAACTAGCCCAGAAAAGGGTTTCCACGTGCCTAGTGTTTATTTCATTCTCTTGCTGGAAGTCCTGACCAATTGAAAACACCTTAACAACGCAGCAAACAAAGCTCAGATTAACCAAACTTGAGAAAATATGCCCCAGCCTACATGATGCAAAAATTCAGGGAATTGCAGTGGTCCTGCAGAACATTTTCTCCCCCTTCAGAAGCTGGAGCACTTTGCTCTGTGACCCTGGGTGTGGAAATGAAGCTACAGAGTGCTAAGGCATTTCCTACATTGGGGAGCCCTTTGCCCTGGGATGGGCAGGGCACAGGGCAGAGGACTACAGGTTATACCAAGCCTCAGGCAGAAACTGACAGCCATCCAACACCAGGAATGTCCCATCCAGGCTCAAAGGCAGAGACAAAAGGGGAGCAGAAAGGAGAGGAAACTAAAGATGAGTCCCCAGGGTAGTGTAGTGAGAAGAGCACAAGCTTTGAGCTAGTGATCTAGGCTCAGTCCCTGTATGGTGTTGGCGAGTTGCTAAACATCCCCTGACCTGTTTTCTCAAAGGGAAATGATAGGACCAATCACACAGGGTCCGTCTGATGACAATGAAATAACACGCAGGATGCAAACAGCACAGAACGGGGTACGTGGCAGGGCGTCCACGAGGTCTCTCTGCCGCCCCCTCCATGCCCTCAGGCCTGGTGGACGCAGAAGAGACAAGATCTATGTGTAGGGAAGGGCCCGGTACAAAGCAGCAATGATCACAGGATGCCGTTATAATTTCCCAGAAGAATGGAAACAGAGCACTTGAATTGCTTCAGAAAGGCTCTTGACAGTAATAGGTCTGAACCTGAGTTGTCTTAAGTGTACATAAGGCTTGGGAGAGGATAAAGTAAAGCAGGATCTAGGGACCGGGGAGGGGAATTAGAAATTCTTGTTGACAAGCCCCAGCCCACGCAGCCCTACACACACACACACACACACGTGCACACATACATAAACACACTCATGTACAGATTCACACACATTCCTACACACTCACATTCTCATAAATACGCACACTAACACACACATATATTCACACATTCATACACACACACACACACACACACACACACACACATTCTACCCTCATGTCTCCAAAGGGGATTTGTAAACTGAATGTTTGGACCTCAAGGCACATATTCTTACAAAAATAACATTATAAATGGTGGCCATGTTCTCAGGTGGCTTCACGGTAAAGAAAATTGTAACCCATAAGTGAGGTAAAATGCTGCATATTGGCAGTTGAACAACGAGAGGAATTAACACTTCATTTGCCTCTTCGTTTAGTCATTAGTAAATTTTTTTAAACCAAATAGTATTTGAAATGAAGCACTTTTAAAAGACGGCTGTTGGCAAAAACTCCCTGCCCACCCCCCCCCCCATGGAGAGAAGCCAGGCTCCCTGTGGGCCATGCTCAGAGCTGGATTCATATATACTTGCTGGGACCACAGCAGCAAGAGGCAGGAGGACCCTGGGCCCAGAGGGCTGAGACACCCTGGATGGGCCTCAGTCTGACGGGGGCTCTGATGTCCACCACCCCAGCTCCCAATTCCACTCAACAGAAGGGAAGTTTCGAGCACTGTGCCAGGCCCCATGCAGAAATGTCTCAACTAATCTGCCTAATCAACAATGAAGCAAATGTTTTATTCCCATTGTTCAGATGGAGAAACGGAGGCTCAGGGGTTAGTGACTGGCCCAAGGTCAGTATAGCCCAGCCCTGCTGCTCCCAAAGCCCTTGTGCTTAACTTTGGCTGTACACTGGAATCACCTAGGGGTCACTAAAAATACTGGCGCTTAGCTTTCCCCACCAAAAGCAATTCTGATTTAATTGACCTCAGGTTCGACCTAGGCACCTGAACTTTTTAAAAACTCCCCAGATGATTCTAGTGCACAGCCAAGGTAGAGAACCACCATCTTAACCAGTGTCTCTCAGTGAGGTCCTCACCACCTGCCACGATCACCTGAGGTGATATAAACACGCAGATTTCTAGGCCTCATTCGGGATCTGTTTTTGAACATCAGTTTCATGTTGGTTAAGCATCCACAGGCTCATATAACTCACACAACACTGCTCTAAAGTTGTAAATTATTCTCAGTTTACAGGTAAGGACACTGTGACCCAGAGAGCTTTGGGAAGCTGGTCTAGTCACTCCATCTCACTGCTTCCCAAAGAGGAACGAACACACACGATCTTGGGGTGAGGTTGGGGGAATGAAGCAGCTGGTGGAAGCCGAAGTGGGTGTCCTTGGAGCCCGGGAAGGAAGAGGAACGGGTATGGCAGGTTCTGCAGTGGCAGGAGGGAAGAGGTGAGGGTGGGAGGAACGGGATCCTGGGGGCCTCAGGGTGCAGCCCGGGAGAAATGGAGGGAGATTTCCACGGCAGGACTTTGGGGGGTGCCTGGGTGGAGGAAGGAGGAAAAGACAGACACAGGAGAGAAATCAAGGCTGAGGAGGGGGAGAAGGAGTGCTCCAAGGTCTCAGTAGAGAGCAGTCTGGCTGGAGCCGGTGTCCCAGCTAATTCCTCACCAGATCCACCAGTACTTGCCCGCTAACTGGTTTTGATGTCCATCGAGACTTGGCAGTTCTCACTTTAGAATCACCAAAGGCGCTTTTGAAATAGACACGAATTTAACTGAGAAATCTCTTGGATTTTGTGACATCAGCACGGCCAGCTACTGCCTCCGAAAACTTACTGAGATTTCTACACACGAAAGGAAGAGAGCTCGCCTCCTCTGAACTAAAACACGACGTTTCTCTTTGGCTTGTCCTTAAGGCATAAATGTTAGTTCATCTCTCGTGCGTTTCCCGGTCCCTTCACTAGGCATCCTATCCTATGTAGGTGGGACAGAAATCTAGCATGCAGAGGGTGCAGTGTGATTGGGCTACTTCAGAAAAAGGGGGGACTGTGGCTTCCCCTCCTGTCTCTCTGGGGCTTGTTAAAGCCTAGGAAAGGGCAGCTATTCCCCCTCTCGATAAGAAAACACAAAAGGTCGCAGATTAAGAGCAAACAGTTAAAAGCAGCTCGGCCTTTGAAATGTGGCACTAAATCTGCCATGGGGCTGACATGCCAAACCATGGTAATTGCCTCACAGCCCAGCCTGAGCCAACATGACTCACAAGACACCCATCTATCAGATCGAAGGCCCAGTCATGTCCTGCAGAAGAAGAAATATAACAAAGTAAATTAGGAGCTTGAGATTAAAAGACACACACTACTATATATAAAATAGATAAATGACGAGGACCTACTGTATAGCACAGGGAACTATATTCAATACCTTGTATTAACCTATAATGGAAAAGAATCTTAAAAAGAATATATATATATATATATATACACACACACACACACACACACACATACCTACATACATATATATAGTATACATATTTCTGGATAACTGGCCACGAGCCTGTCCCCGAGTTAATATCCCTAAAGCCTGTGTCTATCATTGTTTAGGAGTGATGGGTGAGGGGTAGGCTTG